GGAGATCTTTTCTTTTTTAAACAGCTTTATTGAGATATAATTTACACACCAAACAATAACAGAAGCAGCAGCTCTACAGCTGTGAAGCTTGAAAACTATTCTGACCCATGCCTCCCCATTTAAAGTTCATAAAGATTAATTTCACCCAAGGGGTGACTGGCTGGCTGAGTCAGTACAGCATGCGACTCTCGATCTTAGGGTTGAGTTTGAGCCCCACGTTGGGTATAGAGATTACTTAAAAAAAAAAACTTAAAAAAAAAAAGATTTCACCTAAAAATAAGCCAATAGTAAAGATCACAATTCCTAACACCAAAAAACTCCAAATAATCCAATTAAAAAATGGGCAAAAGACATGAACAGACATTTCTCCAAAGACATACAAATAGATGGTCAACAGACACATGAAAAGATGCTTAATATCACTCATGACCAGGGAAATGTAAATCAAAACTACAATGAAATATCACCCTACACTGTCAGAATACCTAAAATCAAAAACACAAGAATCAGCAGGTGGCAAGGATGTAGAGAAAAAGGAAGCCTTGTGTACTGTTCGTAGGAATGCAAACTGGTGCAGCCGTTGTGGAAAACAGTATGGAGGTTCCCTGAAAAGCTGAAAACAGAGCTACCCTATGACCCAGCAATTGCAATACGGGTATTTACCCCAAAGATACAAATGTAGTGATCTGAAGGGGCATGTGCACCCCACTGTTTATAGCAGCAACGTCCACAATAGTCAAACTATGGAAAGAGCCTAGATGTCCATCGACAGATGAATGGATAAAGAAAATGTGGAATATATATATATATATATACAATGGAATGTTATGCAGTCATCAAAAAATGAACTCTTGCCATTTGCAATGACGTGGATGGAACTAGAGGGTATTATGCTAAGCAAAATAAGTCAATCAGAGAAAGACAATTATCATATGATCTTGCTGATATGTGGAATTAGAGGAACAAGGCAGAGAATCATGGGGGAAGAGAGGAAAAAATAAAATAGTACGAAACCAGAGAGGGAGACAAACCATAAGAGACTCTTAATCTCAAGAAACAAACTGAGGGTTGCTGGAGTGGAGGGGGGTGGGAAGGATGGGGTGGCTGGGTGATGGACACTGGGGAGGGTATGTGCTATGATGAGCGCTGTGAATTGGGTAAGACTGATGAATCACAGACCTGTACCCCTGAAACAAATAATACATTATATGTTAATTAAAAAATAAATTAAGGGGCGCCTGGGTGGCTCAGTCGTTAAGCATCTGCCTTCAGCTCAGGTCATGATCCCAGTGTCCTGGGATCGAGCCCCGCATCGGGCTCCCTGCTCAGCGGGAAGCCTGCTTCTCCCTCTCCCACTCCCCCTGCTTGTGCTCCCTCTCTCGCTGTGTCTCTCTCTCTGTCAAATAAATAAATAAAATCTTTAAAAAAAAAAAAAGTTAGAAATAGAGGCTACCTAAGCTACCCTAAGATCCAGTAATTGTACTACTGGATATTTACCCCAAAAATACAAAACACTAAATCAAAGGGATACATGCATCCTTGTTTATTACAGCATTATTTACAACAGCCAAACTATGGAAGCAGCCCAAGTGTCCACTGACAGATGAATGGATAAAGGAGATATGGTATGCATATACAATGAAATATTATTCAGCCATAAAAAAAGAACAAAATCTTACCATTTGCAACATGGATGGAGCTGGAGAGTATGATGCTAAGTGAAATGAGTCAGAGAAGGACAAATACCATATGATTTTACTCATATATGGAATTTAAGAAAACAAATGAACAAAGAAAAAAAAGAAAAAAAGGGAGAAAGATAAACCAAGAAACAAACTCTTAAATACAGAGAACAAACAGATAGTTACCAGAGGGGAGGAGAGTTGGGGGAGGGGTGAAACAGATGATGTGGATTAAAGATGCTCATCATCATGAGCACTAAGTAATGCATAGAATAGGTGAATCCTGTACTGTACACCTGGAAATAATATAACACTGTATGTTAATTATACTGGAAATAAAATTAAAAACTTAATTAAAAAGACCACAGCTGAATCCCACAAAAAGTAATTAGAAGAGGGAAAAAATAAGCAGAATAATATCCCCACAAATCATGAAAGAGCTCTAGAAATGCATGCCCAACAAAACAAATGGAAAGTATAACATTATGTGTCTGAACAAGCTAAGAGAAATTTTTAAATAATACATGAAAGAACAAGAAAAATCAAAATGAGAAAAACAAAAAAAGAGGTGAAATGACTCAACCAAGAAGCAGAAAGATAAAGACTCTTCACAAATGAAGACTTTACCGGAAGGAATAGAAGATTGAGCAAACATAAGAGCTAATGCCTTAAAAATAGGAAATCTTGAAAAAGTGAAATAAAGAGATGAAAAGGATTTGAGATAAAGTGACAAAGAAGAGGAAAAAAAAAAAGAAACCAACATAGAAAGAGGACCTAAAGAAAAAAAAAAGGCAATCAGACAAACCAAACACCAAAAAATTATAATTCAAGAAAATTTTGCTGAAATATTAAAAAATATATTTGAAGCTACAGGGTACCCACAAAAAGTGACCACGAACAATACAAAATACATTCAAATAAAACTACTGATTTAAAAAAAAAAAAAACTACTGATTTAAAGATTTATTTATTTTAGAGAGAGAGAGACAGTACCTGTGAGAGTGTGGGGAAGGGCAGAAGGAGAGAATCTTCAGACTCCCCGCTGAGTGCAGAGCCTGATGTGGGGCTCAATCTCACAACCCATAAGATCATAACCTGAGCCGAAACCAAGAGTTGGACACTTAACCTGAGCCAGGGGCCCCTGATTTTTAAAGAAAAATTTAGAAAGTCTTTTGCCTGAAGGCAAAATATTATAAGAAAAAAAAAAAACAGACTGGAATCAGACTTTTTACAGAATGCTTTACCCCCAAAACAATGGCAAAATATATTCAAGACAATGAAGGAAAGAAAACATGAACCAAGAATTTTAATATCTAGCCAAATGGTTTTCAGGTATAAATTTACAAACATGCTATTATTAACAGGCAATATTATTTCCATAAGCCCTTCTTCAGGAATCTACCAGATAACAAGTCACAAACAACAGAAATGATTGGACAGATACTGACATAAGAACTGATAGCATTACTATCAATGGATGTTAATATCACAAAAAGAGAGCGAGCTACACATTATATACTCCTATAACATAGTTTTGCCCTAATTAAACAAACCAACCCGAATTTTCAGAAAATACAGAAGACAGAGGAACATGTTAAATGATGCCACAAGGAAGCAATACTCTAGATTATGGAAACTTGGTTTCTTAAACAACAAAAAAAGCTGTAAGAAAAAAAATAGATGAGGGGTGCCTGTGTGGCTCAGTCGGTTAAGCATCTGCCTTTGGCTAAGGTCATGCTCCCAGGGTCCTGGGATCAAGCCCTGCATCGGGCTCCCTGATCAGCGGGGTATCTGCTTCTCCCTCTCCCTCTGCCTGCCACTCTGCCTACTTGTGCTCTCTCTCTCTCTGGCAAATAAATAAATAAAATCTTTAAAAAAATGTTTAAAAGAAAATAGATGAGAAAGGAATCCATATATTAAAGAGACTTAATGAAATCACACAATTTACGAATCTTATTTGGATCCAGATTCAAGACAAAAACTATAAAAGAAAAAGCAATCATGAGGCAATCGACAATCTGAACACTAGTTGACATTTGAAGATATTAATTACTGTTATTTTTAAATGTGGTAACAGTAGTGGGGCGCCTGGGTGGCTCAGTCGTTAAGCATCTGCCTTCGGCTCAGGTCATGATCCCAGGGTTATGGGATCGAGCCCCGCATCGGGCTCGGCGGGAAGCCTGCTTCTCCCTCTCCCACTCCCCCGCTTGTGTTCCCTCTCT